ATATATATATATATATATATATATATTATTCAGTTGTTTAAAAAAATACTGAATTTCTATATGTATTTTTGAATAAAATTTTATTTAAATTCATATATTAAATTATTTTGAGACAATTAAAATCCCAACAATTAGTTTAATCGGTTAATACTAGGGATGACAAAAATACCCGCACCTACGAGTATCTATGAGTAAAACCCGCTACGGATAATAAATGGATAGGCTAATTAGGTACCCGTGGATAATAGGGACGGATAAATTTTTACCCGTTTACAAATGGGGAGGGGGCGGGTATGATGATATTCATACTTACGGGTTCCCGTTTAATAATATTTCTTAAAAATCCTAATTATCCTTGTATCACATAACCCTAAAACTACACTCTCTCATATTATTTTCTTACAAAAGTGAGGTTGATGAAGTTACCAAGATGTGTTAAGCATGTTATAGAATTATGTTGGATGTAATTTGATTAATTTTTTTAACTTTGATTGGACCAATAAAATTTATGTATTTTAAGTTGCTTACTTTCGTTTGGAATTATGAGATTGAATTATTTTAGCTTTGTGATGAGACATTAACTTATTTGTCAGATTAATGTATTTTAAGTTATTGATTATCTTGCATTTTTATTATTACTTCAACAAAATTAACGTCAAATACAAGTTCAAAATTAACATTGAATTTTTATTTTTAATATTTCAATGACATTAAATATAAACTTAAAATTATTTATAATATAATTTTTTTTAATTTCTTAAAAAATTTATAAATATCCATGGATATCCGTAAGTATTCAAGAAATTCATGGATACCCACTTAATGATGGATACCCGCTTAATGAATACCCGCGCAGATATGAGGTAGATATGGGGCCAATTTTTATTCAGCGGGACGAGGGTGGCTTTATTATTACCCGCCCTCATGGGCCCCATTGCCATCCCTAGTTAATACAAATTGTGACCCAGACCTAATTCAATTTCAGCTAAAGAAAATGTATAATTAACTTCAATATGATTAATTCTTAATTAACATGTATATATAATTTATCAGGATCTTGAAATCTTTAAGTGATAATACGATTTAAAAAAAAAAAGAGAAAAAAAGTATACGTTTTATACGATTCTCTTGCCTTAAAACAAAAAAGTTTATCACGAAGGATTCAAGATTGGAGGTGATGAACGCAAAAATAATTAAAACTAAATAAGGGTAAAATGTATTTTAAGTTTCTCAATTTTCAGTCAAAATTGATTCTAATTTCTATATACATATTTTTTAAAAATATATACATAATTAGAAAATTTTAATTTTTACTTTAATATCTTAAGTTCCATCATAAAGAAGAAAAATATTTATCAATTATATATATATATAGACAACAAATCTCATAGGCTAAATACTAATTTATTATATATGATTAAAACTTATAATAAATTATATATACAAATAAATATTATATTTGAGGATTTGACTCTTTTAAAGTGAAGGGGCTATACTTTGGAGAATAAAGTACACTCATAATTATTGATTATAAAATCAACAATTAATTAAGGGAAATATTTGGTAGGGGAAAAGTTTTTACATAGTAGGAATCCTGATTCCTAAGAATTACAAATCATGTGAATCATATTCTGGAAATTAATAGCTAAAATATGTTTGGTTATCATAAAGGTTCTTGGAAATATATTCATATAGGATTCCCAGGAATCAAAGATTTTTATGTTTGTTGTGATACCCTCTACCCCACACACAATAATACATAAATAACAAAAAAAAACTAAAATTCCTCATATGAAATAATAAACTCAAAATTCATACAAGTAAACAGAGTCTCATCGTTAACATAAACTAAACTTAACATAAATAACAAAACTACAAAGGAATTAAAATCAAACTACTCAAATTAGATAACATGAATCAAATCCTAACTAGTCATAACTAATCCCCAATGTCACATGTCCTGTTAGAGCAAAACCCAACATTGAGGACTAAGTCTCATCACCAACATCCTCAGCTTCATGTTGATGATCACCTGCAACCACCACAAGAAAACAAC